TGCACAACGCTTAAACATGATTGTTTTGTTCATTCAGGGTAAAACGGAGCCGGAGAAACTAACAAGTAGACAATTTCTCTTTGATATATCTATATATATGTCCAAACCAAGTTCACCTTTGGATAGTTTGAAAATCTTTGGGCACTGGGTATATGATATTTATTATCATAAAAGTTCTTTTTGTATTTCCCAATGAATGAAAAACAAAACGATGTACTGTGTGATACTGAAACCAGTAGAAAAGGAAACTAAGAATGCTATAAAAGACTCGTAGAGTTAAAATCCAAAATAGAAAACAAGGAAATTGGTAAAGATAAAATTGTGTTTAGCTATGATAATAACTCACTATATACTGGCATTCCCATTGCTGAAAGTCCTGATAGTACTTTGAGTTTACTAGAATTAGATAGACACAATTCCATCAGAAAGATGTCCACTGGACACCAGTGAAATAATTAAGAGCTTCAAAATTCTGTCTGGTAAGTAATTATCTTACATTTAAAGGGAATTTATATAGACAGACAAATAGTGTTGCTATGGGTTCATCAGTTTCCCCAATAGTCGCTGATCTTTTCATGAATACATTTGAAGATAACGTCTACTCAGACATACTCACACCGAAAATATGAATGCCAAAGATACGTTGTTGATACTTCCATTTTGCTAAAACGAGGTCTACACAGTTCATTCTTGTGGGAAGTAAACAGTCTATCTCCCAGCATCTAGTTTACACTTCGGAAGAAGAATCATAACTCAGTGATCTGCTTTCTCAAGACTTGGTTTGTAAGGGTTAGTTTTGTTTTTACGAGTTTGACCACGGATTGATATCAGTTAGAGAACCATTGAAAACCAACCAAGGAGTACTGGAGTACTGGACAGCTGCTTCATCCTGGTTTGGGATTCATCGGCAGTACGCACCCACCAGCACGGTTCGATCCTAGGACCTCCCGATTACAAGGCAAGCTAGCTCGTATACCATTCAGCCACTGGGACCTGCCTTCTCTTTCTAAACTGCCTAGTCAACAGGAAGCAAACGGATATTTCATTATACCCATATTCAGTAAGAAAACCCACTCCAACAAATATTCAGATCTCGCTCGGATCATCACTCCCCATCTTTGCAAATCTCTCAGTCGTTTCAAGTCATTTTAGACGCACAGAATCTTTGATAGCGGATGAGAACGAAAAAGGAGAAGAAGAAATATCAAACACTACTGGGATTCCCAAGAAAAATAACTACCTGAAGAACTTCATCAACAAAATCAACACCAACAACATTGAATATGATGGAAAGCGTATTCCGAAGACATGGGCCTCAACAGTTGTCATTCCATATAGATCACAAACATCAGACGATATCAGAAGAGTATTCAATAATCGCATCACAGTTTTTTCATAACGTCCGTCACATACACACAGACACAAGAAAGCAACCTCATCCAAGTAAAAGATCAAATCCCTAAGGATTCTCAATCTAATTGTGTCTATAAAATCAAATCTTCAGAATATGATGCGATATGCACTGGACAAACATCATCAGACAGAAATCAAGGTAATCAGAATAAATGATGAACACCGTAGAGCCGCCTCTGTGTGACCACCGAAAAATCCAGTTCAACTAGAAAAGCTTGAAAAATCATCAGTCATGAGGTTGTCTTCACGCTATAAAACAATCAGGCCACAAAATAGATTTTGACAATATTGAAATAATCTAGAAGAAAATTTCAGAAATCACAAAGGACATCTGCTATCGTTACAAGCACTTCGTACCCAATAGAATGCAAATTATCTAATGAATAGGAATGATGGACTGAAACAGAAATTGTTCCGGTTGTAACACCCAGCACATCCCCATGAAGTGACAAAATCAACACAAATATAATAGGTAGTTTCATTATGTAAACACACACCGTTGTTTTATAATTGTATACGCTTATCAAACGCAACAATCCACATACAAATGGTTTCTGTCATCCTCACCAATTGGTCAACTTGACAACAGCACAAATGGAATTACCTCAAAATTGAGATATTTTACATTCTGGTTGGATAATACGTTTATAAAGCCATTGCCATTAAATAACAAGACGTCAGTAAAAGCAACAGTATCGTTTTGTTTTTCATTCATTCGGAAATCCAAATCTGTGAATGGTAATTTCTCGCTGAATTTTCTCTCCACTGAACTCAAACGTAAGCAGGTGATATTGAACTGAAGGTGTTGTACAGCATATAGCTTCCATGACTCAATAGTCTCTACTAGATAAGGCTTTGGTGATTTGAAGCTAAATGTACTAGTAGCATCACCAATAACCCGGATGCATAAATGTAGGAATAACAATAAAAGTGACGACGAGAGATTACTCTTTGTTTAGAACCGAGATTTTAAAACAAAACCCATCAAAATGCTTACCGTCGTGCACAGATTGTATGTGTTCGTTTAAACTCTCCTTCCAACTGAAACTCTCCTCACAGTAAGAACAGTCATACTTGAAACCTGTGCGAAGGGGAAGGGGAAAGAGTACTGTTTACATTGTCTTGTAATAACTGAACTAACTGCTCAACAGTCAACCAATATGCATCTGTACACGAGTGTTGGCCAGAATACTTCACTGACCACCGTTCATTAAGTGGATCACAATATGGACTGACGACTGACATACTGGACCTTCGTGTAGAATTAAGTCTTGATATAGGGTGGTTAATTCAATGAAATCAACCTAGTAGAATATTGATAAGCAGTCAGTCTACTCAGCAATCTCCTCATATATAAATATGCAGCACACACATAATAAATACTGAACGCGTGCACAGCCTTATAGAGCTAACTGAGTGATAATGTCAAACTACTAAGTGTGCAGTATTTGCATGTATTTGACACTCAGAGCTTCAATGCTCAGAATGACTTCAAGCACAGTATACCAGCAGTAAGTGTGAAGCGATAGAAGAACTTTTCATCAAACAGACTTGACAATTTGATAATTTAAACATTTCAGCGAAAAGTGTATACAGATAATCACATGAAGTATTTATTAATCATCACTCACATGTGTGCATTGCTCTGTAATGTTTATCAAAGTCTGATTTGAAGGTGAATTTTGCACCACACTCTTCACACTTGTGCCCGATATCTGAGAGGTAAGTAGAAATTAAGAAATTAAAATCGATGCATACACCGGACACGAAAATTTAACTTGTCTTTGAATACAAAGAAATAATTACTAGATATTATTTCTACGACTGTGATACCGCCTACAAACATGGGTGTGATGGAGTGGATAATTGAATCTAGTGGATATATATTCAAAATCTGGTCTGTAGTGGATGTTTTGCGAACCATACTATCAAGTCAAGTAGTCTTCTCCCCCCTCATCCAATACTTTTTCGTGGTAAGCAGTAATGGTACATCTTCATGGTGTGTTATCATGTTTTGATCTGATTACATTCACATTAAGTAGATCCTAATCCAGGTAACATTGATAAGGGAACAAAGAATTGACTCGATCTAGCCACCTCAGACGGTGGAGATCTACTAATTCATTGGCCGAATCACCCAATGCATCTGCAACTCTATATCTATCCAGCATTACGCAGTACACGCAGACACACACACAAGCAAACGCAACTTTTCATGGCTTCCTGAGTAATAATGAAAGTTGAGAAAGAAGCATTAAACTAGTCTTTTAATAAACAGTAACATGATAATCAGCCCTTGATTTTATATCCCTCTGTCTGTGATGATATGGAAATATGGTCAACTCAACCAACTGCTATCATGCTAGCTGCATAACAACAATCATTATTGTATAACAGACATTCAATTGAAAAATAATATGTGACATGTCGTCAACAAGGAGAATAAACCAATCTGTGAATCGACTGAATCAAAGGTCGGTTGTGTATCACAAACAGGAGGAACAACCAGATGAGAAAGTGATAGGTGAACTTTTCCGCTCCTATTTCACACACACACACAGAGGGATTCAAAGACTCACCTGTTATGCACACCAGTGCAGTCTATATCCACAACAACAATGTTTCCTACGTTCGACTTCACAGATAAAAAACCACCTGTCAACACTTCGGCAAGCGCAAATCGATGCAAAGGCACCTCGGAGGCTTCAACCACAGTTACAAGGGCGTTCCAGCCCACACATCTCATGCAAAAGGTATCTTTATCTTAATAGGTTTGACTGCAAAGCCTTGTAATGTGACCGCAACACAGCAAAAGCTCCTGGTGAGTCAGCTTTTAATGTCTCATCTCCCACTCAGTGCCCTCAATACCCATTAATGCTTGAAGGGTTAGTAAACGGGGTCAATCCGTTGTTTTTGGTTGACACAGGGGTATCATCCCACGTTATCTGCACAGGGTTCTTGCAGCAAATTGGAGCATGCCCTAATCCCCACATCAGTGAACAAGAAGTAGTCATCGCGATAGGAGCAGTTGTAAAGGTGACTGACGAAGTTTGTTTGCCAGTCGCCATGTAACATTTCGCCTGTCCTCACTCCTTTATTGTCTGAGCAATAATAACATGGGACATCATATTAGGTGTTGCAGTTTTGACAGAGCAGGGAAGTCTAATGGACTTAGAGCGCCTTCACACCAAATTGGATGTACAGAATGTCCAAAACTTCATTTTCTCACTTTTGTGCTCCAGCGATTCCATGTTAGTTAGATAGTACAGACCTTTCTCCGTCTCTACATGGAGCTGTTATTCAAGCCCTACCCTTCTCTACACAAGAATTGAGGGGATAATTAAATGACAATTCTAACGTATTATTTGTGACAATGCTGTTATCCAGATGTCCAGGCTGAAGTGGACGGAAGAGGACACACACACTAAAAGCAGAAGGCTTTAGATAATGAACCACATCTCCATAAACAATCAGTCGCTGGTTTATTTGTATAGATTAAGACTAACTTATAATATGCGCCAACTACACAAGAAGAACAATAATAAAGAGGTGAAATATAAAAGAACTAAATACATCAACACTTACATACCTTCATGAAGTTTTCGGTGTATCTGTAGTCCTTTGTATGTTTTCAGTTGTTTGTGACACGTTACACACTCGTAAAGTTTGCCTTGTGAGTAAATGCAGTAATAACAGTATATCAAGAAGCATTACTTTCCTATAAGAACATTTACAAATATACAACCAGTGATATCTGAAAATTCCTGGACTACATTCTATCCCTCGAAATATCCTCATCAGATCGTATTAGGCTGTGATAAATTTCACGCATCTGTGTCATTGTCACGACAGTAGAATACTTAACCAACCACTCAGGTGGTCCGAGCTTTGGTCCTAAGCCAACTCATTCTTTTACCTCACCAGTTCACTATTAAGCGTGATAAAGAGGGAAGGTTGGACATGAGGCAAGGAACCCCATCCGAAAAACAAACACCACTGTTACTGATAATTCACAGCTGTAGCTTGAAGCCCTATGTCCCACTGGGAACGGAAGGGAGTAAAATAAATCAAAGTTATTTTGTGGGGATTTGGTTTCTTTCAAGTTTGAACACAGTTCGATATAAATTGGAAAACCATTGAAAACTGGTACTGAAGAACTGGTCAGCTGCTTCTTCGTTTTTACCAGTTCTCTAACTGATACCAACCCATGATTAAACTTGAAGCAAATAAATAAATCCTACAAACTAAATCTTGAAAATTAATCCGAGGCTCGCTTGTGACTGGCGTTGGCAAGACGGAATTGCCTGTCTCCAGTTCTAGTGAGAATTTCTGACCAGTGGATTCCACTGGGAACGTAAAAGAATAAAATAATGATGATAGAATGAAGTTTCACGTATGAGAAATGCAAACATATGGCAAAGCTACATATGTTTGACACTTTTCCATAACATCGAATTTATCCATCACCAGCCTGACTGACTAACCGTTTCATACTCTTCAAAATGATTTCATTGTTCACCAAAAAACAAATATTATCATGCAAAGAGACAATTGTTGAATATCTTTTAACAACTAACCTTCGTGTTTAACTCGAATGTGTTCTTTAAGATGACTTTTCCGTGTGAATTCTCTATCACACTGTTCACAGATCATTCTTTCTAAAAGTAAATATTCACAGGACACAATACTGAAAGTTACAAGTATTTCATAGCTATGAGTCGCATAAATTGGTAATTGCAGTTATAAATCTAATCGCCTTAATTAACCGAAGGGAAGCTATCGCAACACATTAGCAAATTAAGAAACTTACATTTGGATAAAACACTCGACATATTGTCGAGTGTAGAAAGTCAAAAACTATACCTTCAAACTGAATTCGCTAGCTACTAGACTTCATAATTTGCATTCACATTGACTGTTTCAATACATGGAGACAGGCTATGGAGATGTAATGGACAAACTAACAATAGGGGCAAATTAAAAGTTTCAGTTTTCAGAATAACTGTCTACCACATACACACACGCATTCTCACTTGACAAAATAACTGACCGCTGTATTTCACGGCAGTAAACAAAACACCACAAAGATCTAAACAACCTTACAAATATGGAAATGAGAATATCTGGCGATAACCAACAGACTGCTGGACACAGGGGATTCGTTAAAGTGTATCACAAGACTCTAATTCTAAGCTTATCGATCAATATTTTCTATCACTTTAAACAACATCTCAACCTGTCTAGATCACCATCAAACAGGGGAACGCACATCTAGAAATTCCTCTGTAACACTGTCAGTCAGTCAGAAATATGCAGTAATAATGCAAACATAGACATGAAATGCAAACCACCAACAAACTGTGGGTTTTGGTGCAAAGCCATTGTGGGAGATCAAAGAAGTTCGTCAAATCAAATGGAACTCAGCCGTTTAACCGTAAACGACCCATTTGTTTATCCCTGCGGATTGACAAAATATCAATGTCTCACTTATTGTTCTACCGATCGCGAAATCTCCCCTTCTCTCCATAAAACTTACGAGTTGAAAGCTCGTTTTTTATTGCTTTATCATGAAACAAATTTCAAGAGAAACTCAACGTACATTCCTAGACTGCTTCAATAGTATAAAATATGAAGTATAGAATACAAACAACACCAGCAAATCTATAAGCTACTTATCTACACAACGCTCTTTTATGCCACTGCCTGAAGCAGTCAAACAGATGGGTAATCGTGCTCCAACCTGTTTGCAATGCGGCTCAGCTTATATTACAAGCGTATATGTTAAACCAGCCTTAAATACAGCCAAGAACTATCTGTCATTGGATTAAAGTGAATGTATACAAAAGATGAACATGAGTGACTCACAACCTACAAATAATACTTTTAAGGTCAGTGATCCCTGTGAACGAGTACACGGACGACGTTCAGTTGGTGAGACAAATGTTGGCATCATAAGTGGCATTGAAACAAATCCTAGTAAGAAATTCCTACATCAGGTTATTATGGGCAATTCGTAGAGCCTTCACTAGAATCACCAGAGATATGTTCACCTCCTTATATAAATCTTTGGTGAGGTCAAGACTGGAAAACTACATCCAGGCCGCCAGTCCTTGTCTTAAAGGGTACTCACATATTCTAGAAAGGGTTCAAAGGAAGGCGACAAGTATGGTTCACGGCATGACTAACTTATCATACGACGAAAGACTAGACAGTTTAAATCTCTTCTCTTTGTCATACCGTAGGCAAAGAGGAGATTCAATCACAATGTTTAAAATTTTAAATAATGACTACGGACCTGACCTATTTTCTCTTTTCCTTCCCACCAGGTCGGAACACCTTAGAGGACATAGCAGGAGAGTTCAAAAGCCAAGAAGAAATCATATTGCTGTTGAGTACTGGTTCTCACACCGAGTCATAAACTCTTGGAACCGACTCCCAGAAGAAGTGGTGTCTGCTACCTCAGCTGATTCGTTCAAGAAGAGTTTGGACAACCACAGAAATTTACTAGAAAAGGATTAACATAGGCTCCAAGCCTTCTTTCCTCAACCAATAAATCTGAATCATTTGTAAACCTGACCGTACTTCTTGAATCTACAGAAAAGTCATCTTAATGAAGAATGAGAATGCAAGGGTGAGATTCTACAGAAAATCGTGGCGTTTCTCATCCTAACACTTCAAACACCGACATTCTCTAGAGTCATCTAATCTGATTGAGTTCTGCAAGATAAATCGCGTGCTATAAAATCCTGATCAAATTTCGTTATAAAACTAAGGCATGTGCTCAATAATGAAAAGCAACTAATTACTCACCAGATTACTTGACTGAGGGAGGACTCAAGTGCTATGCACGAAAACTAACAATAACCATCTGAAGACTGAATTCTCACGGAAACCAACAGACGATATAAACAAACAATTAGTTTCGCAAACAATAATAGAACTGTGATGTTACCAAGAAGTTTTGTCACCGATTTTCATAAGTCGATAGAAATTTGCATTCGTTTTACAAAAAGTCTTCTTCGATACTCATGTTCAACGCTACCAGTTAGGAAAACGACAGAGGAGTACTCAGTATTTGAAGTAGCAAGGAGTTCGACTAAGCTTTCAGGAAACACTGTGGTCCTCTGGTAATACGACCTGTCTGAAAGATTGTCAACGCACGGTGGAGTGAGCAGGTGTTAATCTAATATCTGGTTAAGTTGTAGGTTTGAAACCTCGACTTTATACCTCATTTACTGACTTCCATTTTATGGGAAGCCAGTCAGCCAGCCGATATGTCTTCTCTCGATGAAAACAAGAATAAGAATGGGGACGTGGAATGTCCGTACAATATACGAAACTGGAAAGTCTGCTCAGGTAGCCACAGAGGTGCGAAGATATGGCCTAGAAGGACAGGATGTCTGAGAAAGCCGATGAAACAGATGTAGAATGGCAACATTGTCTATTGGAGAGTCAATTATCTACTCCGGCTACTCAAATGACAACCACACCGAGTGGCTATAATGATGTCGCCAGCGGCAGCCAAAGCCCCAGTGCAGTGGGAACCAGTCTACTCTTGCAGGATCATGACAGCAAGATTTACCTGGAATGGAGGGAAGGAAGAATTCGATTATCCACTGCTAAGCACAGTGCTGCAAACAACGCGGAACAAGTCAAGAAGGAAGAGATTTTCACAGACAAATTCAGACAGCAATGGACAACATCCAAAATGGTGACATCGAAATTCTCACAGGCGATATGAATGCAAGCCGGACTGAGAGCAGATAATACAGGAAGAGAACTTATCATGGGTCGAGAGGCTCTGGCTCGATGAAATGAATGAGAACAGAGACTTATTCTCAGACCTCTGCACTTTCAAAGATTTAGTAACTGGAGGGAGTGCGTACAAACACAAGGACATACACAAAGCAACATGGATTTCGCCTGACAGATATACCACAAACCAAGTGGACTTCATCTCATTGCTTTTCAAGGTAGTGGAAACTCAGGCAGTCGAGAAGAGGAACAGATGTGGGCTCCGACCATCATCTAGTGCAAGGAACATTCAAGGTGAAGCTGAATTCCCTGAAAACAACTGGAGAAAGGCAGCTGTAATTCAAGTTCAACATTCAGAAACTGGAGCACAAAATTACAGACGATTCCTTCGTTACAGATATCAGAGAAAAGTTGCACACTCTAAGTGGCATCACTGAGGAAACCTGTGTGGAAGAACATTGGAACTCACTGAAGGTGATTTTCAAGGAAATGTGTACAACTGTTATGAAAAGAAAGAAGAGAAAAGACGAGGAATGGTTCTCAATGGACACCTACCTGCAAGCTAATAGAAGAGAGGACAGGAGGATGGTGAAACTGAATGGTAATGACTCAATGCAAAGATGGACAAGAGAAGAAGATGCTGAGTTCAATCTACACTGCACTGAATAAAGAAGTAAAGAAGAGTGCCAGCAAAGACAAAAGTCGAGCGACTTTATTGCATATCCCCTCAATGACGCTTGTCGCCATGTTGCTATTGGTTTCAAGTAGCCTTGGTTTTGGGGGAAGATTTAACTGATATAATATTGTGATTTCATAGACATAACTCAGGCTCATACGTGAAAAAAGTTATTATCCTGTAATAAGGAAAAGTTGTTCAGAAGTTAAGGAGGACGTTATTTTTCAGTTTACTTGTGTATATACTATTGTGCACCTAGTTGCACTGAGTTCTTAGTGCAACTGTATGTAACTGCATTTACATAAAGTGGAACATTACGAGTGCTCCTGTTTCTAGAATAAAAAACATTATTATCATTAAGTTTAGTAATGAATAATACAATTTCTTCCACGTCAATTTTATTTAATTGAAGTTGTAATCTGTGTAGGCCCTTAAAGGAATAAATTCGGCATGGAGAACTCCTATGTAAACCGAAAGTGCTTTCAGTTTAGTAAATCTTACTGACTTCCTGTATAAATTTGATATTTGTCAAGTGTCTATTTCAAATCTGCTGGAGTATTCAGTAAAGTAAAAGTTGTAGTATCAGATAACCAGGTCTCTATACGAGAAGAGATCGATCCAGGTGATAAACCCAATGTATGTTCAGGGGAACCTGATTACCAAGAAGGAGAAAAGAATGAACTAATGAGCTGATCACTTCAGAGGACCCTTGAATCGACCTTCATCTGCGACTCGCACAGAAACACCGCCAACAGCACGCATACAACTGCCTGACATTGGACATCAATCCTCCAAAGAAAGCACACATCTTGAATGCCGTCAGGCTACTGAACAGCCCCCGGGAAGGCAGCAGGACTAGATGGAATTCCCCCCCCCCAAAGCACTGAAAACGGATCCAGAGACTGCAGCGGATGTGCTGACGCCATTATTACAAAAGATTTGGATGGAAGGAAATGCACTTACCCATTGAAAGAAAGGCTACCTTGTCAAGCTGCCAAAGAAGAGCGAATTAAGCCCCACTCTTCAAGAATTCCCGTGGAATAATGCTCCTGTCCACGCCAAGTAAGGTTATAATTCGCATCATCCTGGAGAGGGTAAAGAAGCAGCTGGCGCAGGACTATACCATCTCGCCGGAACAAAGTGAATTCATGTACTGATCAAATCGCATCTCTACTCATCGTCATCGAACTAAGCGTAGAATAGCAGTAAAATCTCTGGCTCAATTTCATTTACTATGAGAAGACCTTCGATATTGTTGACTGTGAAGCAATTCGGAAACTACTTCAACACTGTGGAGTGCAGTGCCCGAAGTCATTATCAACCTCACCCAACAGCTGGTTATAAGACATTTTCACTTGTTAGTTGATCCACAACGGAAAACTCAGTAAGGCGTTTCGAAGTGAAGAGAGGAGTAAGACAAGTCTGACTGCCTACAACCACCAACCATGATATTTCCGATTGTGGTGTACTAAATTATGCAGAACACCGTGTGTTTGAGTACATTTTCAGAGAGAAGACAGAAGTACACTGAACTGACAGCGAGAGATGAAGAACTTGGAATCTGCTGATAATGCTTGCACCCGTGATCAGGAAGACAATATCAGTGCGCCCCCGGAGATGTCATCAACCACACCTACAGCGCCGACCTCTATGCCTGCTTCAGACATGACTCAAGCAATGGTCGCAGATTTCCGAATAGCGTTGATGATTACTGACACAATAGCACAGTCCTCCAGTACCAAACCCAAAGGTAAATTCTCCGCACCAGAAAAGTTTGTTCCAGGGGAATCGTTCACCTTATGGGAGGAACAATGTCGGCGCTATATTCAGCAGTTTGACGAAAACCAAAGAGGTAGCGCTATTATATATATTATATACACCCGGTACGTTCGAATCAGGTGACGCTTTTGCACGTGTTTTCGTTTATATTCGTTTATTGCTTACTGTTGATTGATCTTTAATAACGAAGGGCCGAAATTCTAAAAAGAGTGTTCGTGTGAACACCAGTAATTTAGAAAATAGCACCAGCTCGTCTAATTACATATTACCACCCCTTATTATTAGTAGTTCACCCAACATGAAAGACTCGAACAAAACTCTGACCCCTGTAATACAGGTGGAAGATGTTCTGCCTAAAAAGGTAGAGTTCTCTTACTTAACATGCATAATCAAAGAGACGCAGCTACAGATAGATGAATTAAAAACGAAATTAAGTTCACTAGAATGTATACTCGAAACTGTCTCACTTATAAAATAGGAACTGCAGGATCCTACTGTAAGAGTTAGACTTGGCTTAACTTAGAATTAAATTAGCCACTCTTACAAAAACTCCTTCACCGCTTTATGACCTTAGTTGTACTCTGCCTAGCGTGCAAATACCAACGAAGTGAATCAATGTAAAAAGACTTGAGATGACTAGTGTGACTGGAACAGAGTTATATTTACACGAAAGCGATATGAGATTTGATAAAAATAAGAGGTTATAACTTATCTGCAGTCGAGACGGTGATAAGCTCGGAGAGTGTGCCAGATGAAAGCACAACGAAAGAGCGAACCGAAACCGTACCGGAGATTCACGAATCGAAAGAGGAAGTGGTGCTAAAGGCCAGGTGAGTCCGTTCAAACAAAAATGTTTGAAGGTTCAATGTACACTACAGGTTATCCTCCCCTTAGAAGGTTGGTGGGAAAACAGCAAGCTTCGATATATAAAAGTAGCAAGGTTGTGTATAATAACAGTGAATGAACAGGAAGGTGTGAAGATAGTAATAAAATAGTTTTTAGAAAAAAATATATTGTGAAAGGAAAGAATGAAGGGAAAAAATTAAGGCAATTTATGGGTACTATGTACATGATTAATGGCGTAAGACGGAATATAAGAAGAAATACGGCTGGTGCCTTGGTGCGATTTCGAGCTTCTGAGTTGTCTGGGTTTTTTTACATATTTGTTTTTATTTATCGTTTTTTATAAATCTGTTGATTTATTTTTTTTAACGACATACTATTACGGGCTGAATTATGTGGAGGTCTGATGGTTCACCTCCGTTTCCCAGGTTGTTATAGCGGGAAGGTGACTCATTATGTCTAAGTTTCATCTTAGACTTATGCTCCATCCTTCCTCATCAAACAAAACTAGTAGTAATACCAAAGGCAATCAATATATCAGCGTATTAGGAGGAATAAAGTAAAAGCAACAGAAAAGTATAGAAGAAGAGGTTAAGATTTCAAAATCAGCATAAGGTGTTACCAAAAACTTAAGCGGAATAAATGCGAGGGAACTAGTGTAACATAGAAGTGATACGCCAAATTGAAATAAATTAAGAGAAATTGCTAACGCTGTGAAAACTGATGCAATGCACAGAGAAGTGTGTGCACAACCAATAGTCGGTGGCACAGTGGTTAGGACTCTCGCCGACCATGTACATGGTCCG